TAGATTTGTTGGAGTCGAGAGATTTATTTTGTTAATTATTGTAATTTATAGTTTCTTTTTCGTCAATTTCAAACAATATATGTTGTTAATTGATAGATTTTTTGGAGTGGACTATTTTTTTTTATTAATTATTGTAATTTATTGTTTCTTTTTCGTCAATTTCAAACAATATATGTTTATTATATAATCTATTTTATGTGGTACCAATAGAATTTAGAGAGTCAATTAAATTTTTTATATAAGTTTTAAATAATTAAGCTGTTAATTATTGTAATGTATAGTATTACTTATATTATTTTTAAATATATTTAAATATTATATGTTAGGTTTTTTATCCTAATTTATATGGCATTGATAGAATTTAAAGTGTCAAATAATTGTTAATTATTGTAATAGATAATATGGAGTATTTAAGTCATTTATAGTATAGTACTTAATATATAATATGTAGTATTTAAGTGTTATATTATGGAATTTGAGAAGTTATTGAAATTTTTATATGATTTTAAAAATATTTTAAATTCATAACTATATATTTCAATGTACAAGATTTTGATAAAATAAAATCTTTAAAGTTAAATTATAATGTTTTTGAAATTTAAATTATTAAAACATATATAATGATTTTATAGAAAAAATAATATCATATAAAATTAAATGAAAATGATAATAAATTCAACTTTTACCATGATAAGGTTGAAAAATATTATTTAAGTGGAAGGAGGTGGGGCCCACTTATATATTTTATATAGTAAGTATTGGACATTTGTAATGATTTAATTGGAACAATGGTAGTAAATCCTAGACTCTTCTAATATATAGTAACTAGTTCTGTCGATAAAAAAGAACCTTGTTTAGCTGTTAAACATTCTTTAGTTGATGTCCCTTCCCATTCTTGTGGTTTTAATTCTCATACATGTAATAGAAACAATGTGGACATTATGTGGCATAATAGATTGGGACATGTTCCTTTTGTCAAAATGAAGGGTATTTCCAGTATTCCTGTCAAATTCTCCTCTAAACAACCTTTTATGTGTTCCATTTGTCCCATGGCAAGACAAGAAAGGTTACCATTCCAACCCAGAACCACATTCACCTCACATATTTTTGAACTACTTCATGTTGATTTGTGGGGACCATATCACACAGCCACATACAATCATTTCAAATATTTCATCACCATTGTAGATGATTTTAGCAGGTCCACATGGACTCAGTTAATCAGCTCTAAAAGCAATGCATTACAAACCTTAAAAGCCTTCATTACCATAATAGAAAACCAATTTAAAACCACTGTTAAAGCAATCAGAACAGACAATGGTCTGGAATTCGTAAATGCTGAAACAACAATGTTTTTCCAGACAAAAGGAATCCTCCACCAGAAAACCTGCCCTTACACACCACAACAAAATGGTGTGGTAGAAAGAAAACACAAACACTTACTTGAGACTGCTAGAGCACTACTTTTCCAATCTAAACTTCCTGTTCAATACTGGGGAGAATGTCTTCTATGTGCAACTTCTTATTCTCACATGAGAAGCTTTGGTTGCCTTTGTTATCCTACAGTTCCTATACCTCACAGAGCTAAATTTGAACCAAGAACTAACCCACACATCTTTGTTGGATATCCCTATGAGACAAAAGGGTACAAAGTTCTAAATATGTCCACAAAAAGAATACATGTTTCTAGAGATGTCATTTTTCATGAGAATATTTTTCCTTTTCATAATCCCTCTACCCCTACTCCACCAATTTCTTGTTTACAATCTCCTTGTTTTATTGATGTTTTGGACAATTCTGATAAGCATGGCACACCAGATACTCAGACTGCATCTGACAGTTTTAATGTTTCTTTCAATGGCTCACCTGATCTTATAGTTCCAGTCCCATTAACCTCACCTCCATTACCAGTTCATCCATCCACTGATGTCCCCCACCAAGCACCTAGAAGATCCACTAGGTGTCACAAGCCTCCAAATTATATGACTGATTACATTTGTTCCATGCCACAACTAAAGCCATCCCCCACCAACACTACAACTACTCTTAATGCTCTTTTCTCCAATCACCAACACATGGCTCACAGTGCTCTAATTCCTAATAGTCAAGATTTTGTACGAAATGTCTGCCTTGACAGGGAACCAATTTCATATGAGGAGGCTGTTGTTGACCCTGCATGGCAGGTTGCCATGACACAAGAATTTGATGCTTTGCACTCTAATAGTACTTGGGATTTGGTTCCACTTCCTAATGGAAAGAAAGCCATAGGCTGTAAATGGGTCTACAAGATTAAACACAATGCAGATGGTAGTATTGAAAGACTAAAGGCCAGACTTGTTGTCAAAGGTTACACACAACAAGCAGGCATTGACTATACTGAAACTTTCTCTCCTGTGGTGAAAATGACCACAGTCAGAGCTTTGTTGATTACAGCAGTTAAACAAGGGTGGACTATGTATCAATTATACATAAACAATGCATTTCTTCATGGAGATTTGAATGAAGAAGTCTATATGGACATACCACTTGGACTTGTAACTGAAGATCCTACCTTGGTGTGCAAACTGAAGAAGTCCCTTTATGGGCTCAAACAAGCTAGTAGGCAATGGTATGCTAAGCTTACTGAAGCTTTATATTCTAGAGGAAATACTCACTCAATGCATGATTATTCTCTCTTCTATAAAAGAAAAGAGAGTTCAGCAGTTTATGTCGCAGTCTATGTAGATGATATAGTTCTTACAGGTACTGATGCTGCTGAAATAGCAGACTTGAAAATCTACCTACATAACAGATTCAAGATTAAGGATTTGGGATTGTTACACTATTTCCTAGGAATGGAAGTTCTTCACACACCACATGGAGTCATTATTTCACAGAGAAAGTTTGTTTTGGGCATGTTGAGGGAATATGACTGTTTGCACTTAAGTTCTTTGGCCTCTCCTCTTGATCCCAATGCTAAGCTGAGGGCCAAAGAAGGACCAGTTCTGAATGATGCTACTTATTATAGAAAACTTGTTGGGAAGCTTAATTTCCTCACTAACACCAGGCTGGACATTGCTTTCAGTGTACAACATCTAAGTCAGTTCATGCAAGATCCCAGGGGACCACATTTACAGGCTGCTTTTCACCTCTTGAGATACTTGAAGAATGACCCTACACTGGGTTTGTTTTTATCTAAGGATGCTGACTTCACTATCAGAGGATACTGTGATTCAGATTGGGCATCCTGCCCAGACTCTAGGAAGTCTGTTAGTGGGTTCCTAGTATTGATTGGAGGTAGTCCACTAAGCTGGAAATCCAAGAAACAAGAAACTATTTCATTGTCATCTGCAGAGGCTGAATATAGATCCCTCAGAAAGTTGGTCGGGGAACTGGTATGGCTGAGTAGGTTACTTGCTGAGTTAGCTGTCCCTTTTTCCAAACCTATTTCTGTCTTCTGTGACAGTCAATCCGCAATACATATAGCACGAAATCCTATTTTTCATGAACGAACCAAACACATCGAAGTCGACTGTCATTATGTGAGGGATGTTCTACAGCAAGGACTCATTTCTTTACATCACATTGCTACACATGATCAGCTGGCTGATATACTGACTAAAGCTTTGACAGGAATTAAACACTCCTCCATCCTTGACAAGTTGGCAGTGTTGTCTCCACCTCCAACTTGAGGGGGGTATTAAATATTATATTGTAATGTGAATAATTTGTTACACAATTAGTTAGGTAGTTAGTCTGTCAGAGTTAGTTATTCCACTGTGCAGTTAGATTAGATGCTTTCCACTTTTATTTCTGATGTATATAAATACTACATTGATCAATAGAATGGCTAAGCTTCATTTTCCACATATCAATTTTCTCCTCTGTTCTTCGTTCACTAGAAGCTTCCATTGTTACTTCCATTGTTGCTCAACTTCAAGCTTATACTGCTTGTGTTTCACAATTTCTCAGGTTTCTAATTCTAAATTATTTGTGCTTTCGTTTTGAAGATATTTTCCAATTCAACCTTTGCTTATTCCTATTAGGCATATATTTCGATGATTCTTCATGGTGAACTCAATCAAGTAGGACAATGTCGATTGGACAGTATTCAGTTTGGCTACTGCAAATAGAAAGGAAAAACTTCAAAATCCTTAGACAAATAGCATAGAAAGTAAAACAGATAGGAAATTACCCAATTAATCATTCGTTTCTTAAGCTTAAATACACTTTACCTTCTAATACAAACATTATTTTGACAAATTACAAAATTATAAGACCACAAAAATTCAACCGAAATGCAACAACAAAGAACTCCAAAAAAAAAAAACACAAATGAAATTGTAGAAGCAGAGGAGACATAAATTTGTTGAGAGTTTTTTACAAGGAGAAAGAGAATTAAAGTGATACTATTATTGCATAGCTATTGCTGCATGTAACAAAAATGATACACGTGTTCATTTACCAATAAAAGAACACCAAATTTATCATATACAACATTTGGTTAAAAAAATTACAATTATAAGATATGCATGTTCCTACACGTGTACTAAAAAAAGTAAAAATAATGGTTTACTTTGAAATATAGAATACAAAGTGTCTGTAATAGAAGAGCAAAGAAATCCAGTTATCCAATAACATATGGCCACGTTGACAATACACTTTACGCTATAGTTACTTTAAAAGTACAATTTATGTTGCTTTTTGTACAAATATTTGTAGCTGCGTTCGTCCTCATCCTTCTTGGCTTATATAATAAGAGAATATTTTTTAAGGCAAAGAAATACAAAAAAAATCTTTATCTTTCGTTATTTCAAATCACCGTCTTCCACTGAAAAGAAAAATATACCGAGTCTTTTGAGTGCTGTGAGACTTTGACTAATACAACTTGTTGAACTAAAAATTCTGAACCAAAAAACACTTCCTAAACGTTGACTGAATTGAATTTGATATGGATTAAATACATCTTCTAATCTCATTCCTTTGCATTATCTGTTATGAGAAACCTTCTTGGCTTAATTATGGGCAGAAGTTTCATTCTTCTCTTTTTCATTCTACTACATGCCAATACTTTACTTGCTAATATTAGCACTGATGAAGCTGCTCTTCTTGCACTTAAATCACACATTTCTTCTCATTCTAACAATATCTTAGCAAGCAACTGGTCTTCTTCTGTCCCCGTTTGCAGCTGGATTGGAATCACTTGCAGCTCCCGTCACCATCGAGTCACTGCTTTAAACATTTCTAGCATGCAACTTCATGGTACCATTCCTCCACACCTTGGAAACCTCTCATTTCTCGTTTCCCTCAACATAAATAACAACACTTTCCATGGAGATTTGCCACAAGAGTTGGCTCATTTGCAGAGGTTGAAATTCTTTTATGCCAAAAACAATAACTTCACCGGAGCCATTCCATCATTTTTAAGTTTGTTACCAAACCTACGCTTTTTGAACCTATCGAATAACCAATTTTCGGGTAAAATTCCATCCTCCCTTTCCAATCTGACAAAACTGCAAGTGTTGTCAATACAGAGTAATTTTTTCGAAGGAGAGATCCCTCAGGAACTTGGTGATCTTCGTTACTTGATTGTCCTAAACCTGCAATATAATCAGCTTAGCGGCTCTATACCACCATCAATCTTTGACATTAGTACAATGCAAGTGATTGCTCTTAGCGGCAACAATCTTACTGGAAAGCTTCCAAAAACTATATGTGATCATATTCCAGACTTGGAAGGACTTTACCTCAGTAGAAACTCCCTAGATGGAGTTATTCCACCAAACCTGGAGAAATGCAGAAAGCTTCAAATATTGCAATTGGGTGATAATGAGTTTGCTGGAACTGTACCAAGAGAGCTAGCCAACTTAACCGCTCTTACAAGATTACATATTGCAACTCTGCATTTGGAAGGTAGTATAAAATTTTCTTCCTTTTCTCTTTTCCCCCAAACTTGGTACTCATATATTTCCCCAAAATTGACAGGAGAGATACCAATGGAGCTCGGTAATCTTAAGAAACTTCAAACATTGGCATTATCACAGAATGAGCTTACTGGCTCTATACCTGACAGCATTTTCAACATTTCAGCACTGCAGATTATAGATTTTGGACAAAACAAGCTTTCAGGTACTCTACCTTTAGATTTAGGTCGTGGAATGCCCAACCTAGAAATATTTTTTTGTGGAGTAAATAATCTGAGTGGTTTTATCTCTGCTTCAATCTCAAATTCATCGAAACTCAGACAACTTGACCTCTCACAAAACAGTTTCACAGGTCCAATTCCTAAATCACTTGGTAACTTAGAATACCTTGAGATTCTTAACTTGCAGCGGAATAATTTTGTCAGCGATTCAACATTGAGCTTCCTTGCATCATTGACAAACTGCAGGAATCTAAAAGTACTCACGTTATCTGGTAATCCGTTGGATGGTGTTTTACCTGCATCTGTTGGTAATTTCTCAAACTCCTTGCAAATTTTTGTAGCAGATGGTTGTAAACTGAAGGGTGTCATTCCGAAACAAATTAGTAATCTTACTAGAGTTACAAGGATGAGTCTGGATAATAATGAGTTAACAGGCCATATTCCAAAATCTGTGCAAGCCATGCTGAACCTTCAGCAACTCTCCCTACAAAGCAACAAGATAGAAGGAGCCATACCACATGTTATCTGCAGCTTAAAGAATCTAGGTGCATTACTCTTGTCAGATAATCAATTTTCTGGTTCAGTGCCCTCATGCTTAGGTAACATGACCAGTTTGAGGGAACTTTACCTAGCTAACAACAAACTGGATTCTAGATTACCTTCAAGCTTGGGGAACCTTCAAGATCTCATAGTATTCGATGTGTCATCCAATTTATTTAGCGGGGAAATTCCACTGGAGAGCGGAAACTTGAAGGCTGCAACACACGTTGATCTGTCAAATAATTATTTTTCTGGTAAGATTCCTAGTACTCTAGGGAGTATAGATAAATTGATTAATCTTTCTCTAGCACATAATAGATTAGAGGGGCCTATTCCAGAATCATTTGGCAAAATGTTGTCCTTGGAGTACTTGGATTTGTCCTATAACAATCTTAGTGGTAAAATTCCAAAGTCATTAGAGTCTCTTGTGTATCTCCAGTACCTAAATATGTCATTCAATGAACTCAATGGAGAAATTCCCACTGGTGGTCCGTTTGCAAATGTCACCAGTCAGTCTTTCTTGTCCAATGATGCACTTTGTGGTGACTCCCGATTTAATGTAAAACCATGCCTAACCAAATCTACAAAGAAATCAAGAAGAAAAAGAGTGCTCGCAGGTTTATATATTCTATTAGGGATTGGATCACTCTTCATGTTGACTGTTGGAATTGTGGTGTTAAGATTGAGAAACACAAAGAAGAATGCAAGTCAAAAGGATGTGTCTCTCGTAAAAGGGCATGAAAGAATTTCATATTATGAACTTGAACAGGCAACGGAAGGATTCAACGAAACCAACTTGCTTGGTAATGGGAGTTTCAGCATGGTTTATAAAGGGATACTCAAGGATGGTATCATTTTTGCAGCAAAGGTATTCAATGTGCAATTGGAGGGTGCATTCAAAAGCTTTGACACAGAATGTGAGGTACTCCGGAACCTTCGCCACAGAAATCTGACCAAAGTCATCACCAGCTGCTCCAATCTTGATTTCAAGGCCCTAGTGTTGGAATACATGCCCAACGGGACACTTGACAAATGGTTATACTCTCACAACTTGTTCTTGAACTTATTGCAAAGACTGGCTATAATGATAGATGTTGCATCTGCAATGGACTATCTTCACAATGGCTATTCAACACCTGTGGTGCATTGTGACTTGAAGCCAAGCAATGTCTTGCTAGATCAAGAAATGGTTGCTCATGTAAGTGATTTTGGCATTGCAAAAATGTTAGGTGCAGGGGAGGCTTTTGTTCAGACAAGGACAATTGCAACCATTGGATATATTGCTCCAGGTATATTAAGACTTTTTAAAGTTCTCATATCATATAAATACTCAAAACAATTCCTTCCCCTAGGTATAAATTTTTGACCATGATTGCAGAGTATGGACAAGATGGCATAGTATCCACGAGTTGTGATGTTTATAGTTTTGGCATCCTGATGATGGAGACCTTCACACGAATAAGACCAAGTGATGAAATATTTACTGGAGACTTGAGCATACAACGTTGGATTAGTGATTCCTTTCCGGGTGAACTTCACAAGGTGGTGGATTCTAATTTGGTACTGACATGAGATGAACAAATCGCCGCAAAGATGCAATGTCTGTCATCTATCATGGAATTAGGTTTGAACTGCACTTTAGTGAGACCTGATGCAAGAATTAGCATAAAAGATGCTCTTTCAACACTCAAAAAGATAAGGCTCCAGCTTGTTAGTAGTCGGCACTAGGTGGAATCGGACTTGTATGTTATTTAGTACCAGTCTTCTCTTGTATGTTTTTCAATTTCGCACAAGAATTTAAGTGTATTTTATCTTGGTTGTGGGAAGCAGCTCGTTTTCTTGATATATGGAAGTTGAAAATGAGATTTGAAATGCTCAACACAAGACTTTCTTTTTGTATTTACATAACTTTGAGAATTCTTCCCATTATCTACAATGATTTCTTCCAATCTTCACCAAATCAATGCGCCTCAACAAAATTCAGATTACAACTCAATTGAACTTCCTGGTACACGATAAATAGACTAGAAGACTGTAAAACATATGACTATGAAACAGATTCTTCAAGTTTGTCCTTTGTATCAGGTGCACTTAGATCGTCAGTCAAGAAGAAAAAGAGTTCTTATAGGGTTATATATTCTGTTAGAGATTGGATCACTCCTCGCATTGGCTGTTGGATGTGTGGTGTTAAGATTGAGAAAGATAGAGCGCAAGTCAAGAAGATGTATCTCTAGTAAAAAGGCATGAAATAATTTCCTATTATGAATTATTGATCTCACTAAAGGACCACATGATAAAAGGCCCAAGGCTAGGCATAAAATACAAACAACAGATTTGGCCCTAACGTAAGATAGACTTTCTGATGCCACATACACACATAGAAGGGAATATTATTGTTAGAATAGGACAGAAATTAATTTCATTTGTTTATTTCTCTTATCTAGAAATAGTTGTATAGATACATAACATGTACAGTGGAGAAAATTTCTCATATTCTTCTTCTTTAAGTTTTCTATCACAAGTCACTGCTTTAGACATTTCTAGCATGCAACTTCATGGTACCACACATTGGAAACCTCTCATTTCTTGTTTCCCTCAACATAAGTTACAACGCTTTCCACTAGAGTTGGCTCATTTGCAGAGGTTGAAATTGATAAGTATCACAAGTAATAACTTTACTGGATCCATTCCGTCATTCTTAAGTTTGTTATCAAACCTACGCTTCTCGAGCAACCAATTTTCAGGGGAAATTCCATCTTCCCTTTCCAATCTGACAAAACTAGAAGTGTTGAGAATACAGAACAATTTTATCCCTCAGGAAATCGGTGATCTTCGTTACCTGACTATCCTAGACCTGCAAGTTAATAATAAGCTAACTGGCTCTATACCACCATCAATCTTCAATATTACTACAATGCACAATCATACTGGAAAGCTTCCAAAAACTATATGAGATCATCTTCCTAACTTGGAAGGGCTTTACCTACCAAGCAACTACCTAGGTAATCTTAAGAAACTACAATGTCTGGCATTATCCCGGGATGAGCTTACTCGTTTTGTCACTGCAAGACCAGATGCTATCTGCAATTTGAAGAATCTAGCTAGGTGCATTATACTTGTTAGGAAATCAATTTTCAAGTTCCGTGCACCATGCTTAGGAAATGTTACCAGTTTGAGGTATCTTTATCTAGGTTACAACATGCTGAATTCAATATTACCTGAAAGCTTCGTGATCTCATAGAATTCAATATTTCATTCAACTTATTAAGTGGGAAAATACCCCTTGAGATTGGAAATTTAAACGCTGCAACACTCATTGATCTGTAAAAAATAATTTTTCTGGTAAGATTCCTAGCACTCTAGGTGGTCTAGATAAATTGACGAATCTTTCTGTCGCACATAATAGACTAGAGGGGCCTATTCTAGATTCATTTGACAAACTATATTGGTGGTGAAATTCCAAAGTCATTGAAAGGAAAGTACAAAGTACCGCTTTGTGATATAAAAACTGGTCTATATACTCTAAGTTGTTCTGTTAGTAGGATAATTGAGAAATAAAAACTCCCTCAAAGTCCTTATGAGCATCTCAGAAGAAGGGAAAAAGAGAAATATACCATGCTCGAGGTCGGTTCTACTGTAATAAATCTCGATTGAACTATGCAAAAAAAAATAAAAATGACTCATAACATGTCATGTATACGTCATAACACGGGAGATGTGGTAAGCAAAAAAAAATCCATCCTGACAACATTTAGAAATGCATAAGTGCATTCAAATTGAAATAGAGACTACTTAACTGCACCAATCTAGTATAAAATAAGCTCTCTCGCTCCCCCATGAGGGCAGGACACTTTCTGTAAGCTGCTCACTTCCAGTTGCAGCAACTGATTATTTTCATCAAAAGCTTTTGTTTCTTTTAATTGACTATGCCAAGGTCTGATTGTAGAATTCTTCATATACATCAAACGATCACTGAAAACTGTAAACAGATTTAGTCTTGGTTGCAGGTTGAGTCTCTTAGGCAGACAACTCCATAACAAAGCATCCACAAACGAAGAGCACTCCATCTACTGAAATAGAACGTTCACTTCTAAAACATCCACCTGGGTCGTAGCACCAACTCTGTAGTGTTGTTGCAGATGTTCCATTTTAATCTCAGTGCATTCTTTAAAACGAATGGAAACTTGAGACCAAGAGGCCCCCGTCGACTTTGATAGAAACTTCCTCAACTTACAAAACCAGTCAGCATTTATATTGTCTAAGCGGTAAAGATAGATTTTTGAGTTCTCCAGCTGTCTTGCAATTTTAAATTCAGGAATTTGTTTCCCCGTGTACTCAAATGACACCAAATTTGGAGCATCAATCTCCCACATGCCCTCACTATCCCGAATCTTCAAGACCTTTAGGTAAACTGTCTTGATCTTTCGAAGATACACCTTTTCCAAGCCAATACAATGCACAAAGATCAAAGTGTCAATCAAGGGACAACTATTGAGCAGAGTCTCAAACATGTTTTTGCCTAATTTTACATGAGATAGAGAAAGCTTTCTCAAAGAATTTTGATTCACAACACCACTAGCTAACGAAAGAGTACACTACGCAAGAACCAATTTTCTTAAAGATTTTGCTGCCAAGATTGTTAAAATAGGCGCGGAGTATGATATACAGTCAAGGACAAGATGTTTTACACCATTTTGAAGTGCAATGTCAAGACAGTTATCGATAGGAATAGGAGGTAAAACTTTGTGAGGATCATAAGAGGATCTCCTTGACAATTCAAACTTTTCTATAGGGACTTTTCCGTCCCTATATCTCTCCATGATTGTGTCCACTATCTTTATATTGCATTTGCCCCTATGAAGACAGAATTCCAAGTCGGGAAGAGTCGACCACGCTTGCAGCCATGTTTTGGAGAGAATGCTCATCTTGGATGCTTCTTTATAACTAAGAAAATAAAGTATTTTTTGAATGAGACATTCCGGCAACATGTCGGCCATGGTATGGTGGTTCTGAAGGATCACAATTCGGATAGGGAAATTATACTCCACTAAAGAAACCTATTTTAGGTTTCCCTAAAATCCAAAATAATATAATACTCCTATTATAGGAATCGTATTTGTAAACGGACTTAAAAAAAGAAACCTATTTAAGGTTTCCCTAAAAGCCAAAATAATCATTATCATATATAAAAGAAAATCCTCAACCCGGTGACATTGCCAGAAATTCTTTTTTATTTATACAAAGACAAAAATACCCTTGCCCTCGCACCACAACATCCACACTCAAGCATCACTTCGCTTCATACCTTCAACACCTACCAACTCTTGACAAACGCCGTGCCTCTTACCAACAGTCCCACCATAAATAAACTCACCACCTATTCATCTTCCCCCGACTACTTCCTTTTCCCGCTTTATCTCCCTCTTCCTGCCCACCATCTTCCATGTCCTTCCCCGGCATTCTCCACGGCTCCACCAACACACACCGCTCATCAGGTATGCTCCTCACTCAACTTCCTCCCCCACCATCTTCCCAACAATGTCGCTTTATACTTAATAATCCAATAATTGATATGATATTCAGACATCACAATAACACATAACTTCCGATAAAAAGAGACCATTGCACCAACTCTTTGTTCTTATTCCCAACAAACGATTGCTTGAAATTGAAGCTATCAATGGCATAGAAGATTCCACAGATACAAATGCAATAAACAGTCTCTCAGACTCACTCTCTATCTTTAAATTTGTGCAGCCACAATTTTGCCTGATGGTTTGTCGGTTCACACACCGTTGTTTTCAGCAAACATAACTACACATTTGGTGTTTCTTTAACGATCCATTGATGCACTCTTTTGAAATTCACCCATTTGTAGATCCGTGCTTTGGTGATTAATTTATGTGCCCTGCTACCTACTGTTTTACTGATTATTTCTATTCCAATGGATTTTTTTTTATCTATCAATTGCATTGTATACAAATTTTACAAAGTTCGTTCTTTATCCTTTTGTCCAACACACCCACACCGCCACAAATGTGTTCTGCCAACACTCTCCTCCCCCGTCTTTAAAGCTATGCCCCAACGCCACTACAAATTTCTACCAACTATCCAAATCGCTTCCAGAACTTCACACTAACTATATAAACTCCCCGTTTTTCCCCTGCTTCTTCTCACCTATTTATTCTCACCAATTTCCTATTCTTTTACTGGGAAAACAAATTTAAAAACACACGCTTTAAAAGATGCACATTTGTTTTCTTTATTTTTCGAATTAACCTTCAGGTCCAGCTTGGTAATATAAATATCTGATGATTAGAAAGTTAGTTTGGCAATAGTTGTTATGGACACAACGATCAGGAAAAATATATTGACCACTTGCTGTCAAAAAAAATATCCTGCTGCACTGTTTTCCTACTATACATACTAATTAAACACCGTGAAATTCTGTGATACACTTATCTTCTACAGTTTGATACACATGGATGTAGAGACTCAGACTCAGACGGTCGCTTCGCTTGATTGCTGAAAGAGTACATATTTCGATAGTATATGAAATGGCAAAATCAAAGAAATAAAG